TGAAGTAGCCTTTAATCACCACGTGATTATTTTCAGTATCATCTTCGTCAAATTTGTAGATGATTTCTTTGACTGTACGGTTGAAGTGAATTCTATCGTGAAGGAAAACTTCAGGATTCCATCCTCCGTTGTTTTTTTCGGTGAAGGCTTCTGGTAACAAAGACATCCCACCTTTGATGCAGTGCATGTCTGATGACCACCACTGTCCCAGTTGATCACGGAGGTATTGCACAAGGCTTTGATCAAGCTGCTCTGTGTAGGAGAAGACAGAGTAGGCAGTGATGGCAGCATCAGGCCAGGGAAGGTACTTCTTGAGCTCTTCAAGGCTTGTCAAAGAGATGCTTTGTTTTTTTTCGAGAACTTTTTTCTCGACTTTTGTCATCACTGCTTCGTAGGTACTTTGTAAGAAGCCATCAAGTGAAAACTGACTCCAGAGATCAATCCACTGATTCCAGGCATCGCTTGGTTTAACGCTGGGATCGTTGAGCAAATCAAGCAGTTGATCTGTTACAACTTTAGTGGTGCGATTGTAATATTCATCTGCAGTTAGATAGAGATAAAATTACAGTCAAAGATGCCATCTAGACAATAATAATAATAATAATAGTAATAATAATAATTAATATTTCTATGGCGCAAATTAGGACATGAATATGATCAGATGCGCCTTAAACAAAGCTAATTCAAAATGATCTTAAACTAACAAAGGTACTTTGCAGCAAGAGACTATGATTTAGATCATCGTCTTTTGTTTGTAGTTGTATCCATTTTGCAGCTAGTTTGTTAATTCGCCTGTTCTAAAGACATCGGATGGTTTTTTTCCTTCCTAGCAAGTGATCTTTCTCTTTTAATTATTTTTAGATGCATTTTAGGTGCCGAANTTGGTTTAACGCTGGGATCGTTAAGCAAATCAAGCAGCGTGTCTGTTACCACTTTAGTGGTGCGATTATAATATTCATCTGCAGTTAGATAAAGATAAAGTTACAGTCAAAGATACCATCCAGACAAACTAATTTAAAATGTTTTTGAACTCACAAAGCTGCTTTGAAGACACATGAGTGGTGCGACTATAATATTCACCCGCAGTTAGATGAAGATAAAGTTACAGTTAAAGCTATCATCTAGACAAAGCTGATTCAAAATGACTTTAAACTAACAAAGGCACTTTGTAGTTGTATCGAACAAAAAGGTTAAAGAAAGAAGTCAATCGTGATTTTCAGTCCAATAGATAAATTTTGTTTTAAAATTCGCCTGTCCTGAGGACATCAGGTGGTTTTATGCTCCATAACCTAGCCTTTCTTTTTTTAATTTATTTTTAGATGCGGCGCATTTTAGGTGGCGAATAAAGGCGATTAAAACTCGTGTTTCAATCATTCATTCGGACGGTTTCTGGGTCTTTTTGCCTTTCCTCGGGCCGTGCAATTCTGCGGGATTCCGTTGTGTGTCAAAAGCAAGGAAGACATGTTTTGAGAATGGAGTGTACAACAGTTTTCAGTGACTAGAAAAGTTTCACCTCTCGTGGCTGTAGAATACACTTATGGTGCTTGGCAAAACTGAAGTTTGCAACCACCTTAGACAGCTGCAGCGCTTTAAACTTACCGATACTTGTGATGCCTTTCACTCCATTTTTAATTAAAGTAGCATCCCATCCAGGCCAAAGTTTGTCCATCCAGGTCAAAGGATCTTTATTCCATTCTGTTGAATACACGAATTGGGAATTACCGTTACATAATTTACATTTACATAATTTACCTATGGTTAGCTGTAAGTAAGCGACGTGTTGTAAGGCCAGGCCACTACACTTCAGTTTATAGCGCCAAATTCTAAAATTCAATTTCACTCTTGAAGATATAAACTTGCTAAACTACAAGGTTACCCCTTGCTAAGGAGGGCTACATCCGACGTTGCAGGAAGACGTTTGACATTGGAACATTAACTAGTAGATTTTATTTACTTGTCTTAAAGATACTACTCCGTCAGTGCCTCTCTACACCCAGGTGTGTAAACGGTTACCGGCGAACCTAATGCCTGAGGTAACCCTTGCGATGGACTAGCATCCCATCCAGGGGGGAGTAGAAATACTCTCAGTCGCTTCATGCTACAGAAGCCAGAATAAGCTTCGGCCTGCTGGGGCCCCCTTGGCTCGTATGCAG